ACAACTGCTGTAGTCTTTCTTCTTTATTTTGCTGTTCGAGCTGCCATTGTTGTAGGTTTTCTTGCCACTTCTGTATTCTTTCTTCTTGTTTCTTTTCTTTTTCCTCCAACAACTGTTGTAATCTCTCCTCTTCTTGTTTCTTTTGCTGCTCTTGTATTGCTGCCATCAAGTCTGCTATGCTGTAGTTGGATTTGCTGCTTCTCGTTTCCATTTTTTTTTGTCCCACTATCTGACACCATTTTGTTACGTCTCCGTTCGTTAGTTAATTTTCCGTAAATTCGTTCCGACGAAACTTTAGTGACACAAGTCCTTTCTTAAATAAAACTGGTTTATTCTTTCTGAATATAACTTTGTGATACACTTAATTTCAACAGTCGCGCTATAATTCCCAACGAACGTCTCACGTGCTCGACTTCAACAATATTCTCTCTGACTGCAGTACAATTACTCATTACTCTGTTGTCCCGTCACGTTGTGAACGTCTTATATATACAAGACTAACACATATCTAGTAAATGCTAGGGCATTCTTGAAGGAACAGGATATTTCTAGAAAGAGGTGGCGTGATACTAGTCACGTGACCTCGCTGACGCAACAATATTATTTTTATTTTATATTTCGATCTTTATTTATTAATTCTTTTGTTATCTCCTGATTGGTCAGCTGTAAGTTTATGGACATACAATGCTAAAGACCGGAGTTTGATTCCCGCTATGGACAGAGCACAGTTAGTCCAATTTGTAACTTTGCCTTAAAACAAACAAAAAATCATTATTTGTTAATGTAAATTTGTTGATCAAGATACTTTAATTTTTATAATTAATCACCTATGCCATGGTTTATCACCAATATATAAATAGACCTGTTTATGTGTTAAGGTTTTTTTTTTTTATGTGTTATTGAAGTAATTGTGTATTTTTGTAAATTATAAAATATCCAAATTCCAAACAACGATTTCAGGAGTTTTAATTTTCAGAGAAAAATATCACTGTTCATTGTATTACTTCTCTACACCATGTTTTATTTTATAATGACCATGGTCTATACTACACCGTTTACCATGCTGGAAAAAAATCATTTTAAACTTTAGAAGTAGATGCAATCAATGTATTTAGATAACTGGAGGACTATATCTAAGGCTGGAGACATCTCCAGAAACTTTTTGCTTGACTATTGACTACTTTAAAGTAACAATTGTAAATTTTCTAAATAAAGTAGATATAAGAAGTAATTCAATAACCCCGAAATTATCTCATCTACTTCTTTTGGAAACTTTCTACTTTGAAAATTAGAACTTTTTATAATGTGGATATTTTTCACCTATAAATAATACAAGGAAGCTGGTTCTCCAGTGAACCAGTAGTGAGTTTATGGACTTAAATGCTGAAATCTGGGGTTCCATTCCCTGCAGTGGACAGAGCTCAGACAACATATTATGTATTCATTACAAAGTAGTACCTAATTTCCTTGAATAACTTAGTTCATTAGAGTATGATATAGTGGCTGGATAAAGTGTGAAAACAATAAACAATCTTTATTATATCAAAAGCATGAATATGGTGTGTGTATACTTGTTTAACTGTCAAAGGATGGTCACTGTTACTGGTGTAGCACTACCATGTTCATTCCCATTAAAAGTGAGAAAGATTGTAATCTTTATATATCATCTGAGTTACCATTATAGGACACAATTGTCTATTTTCTTATAAAACGTGCAGTATTACAGCAACATCACTCAAGGGCAGAATAGGTATTATCACCCGAGAATGACAAAGGAACAAAGGTAGCTAGAAAGAAAACAACTTATCAACTTTCCTGATAATGAGTTATGTGAAAACTGCATACACAGAGAATAAATGATAAACTTTGAATAATATTATGTTAAAATCAGAAGGTAGAAAATGCATAGTTTGTTTATATATTCTAGCAGAAAGCCTTGTTCAGATAACTTGCTTTCATAAATTTTTGAAATCACCATAACAGTATATTGTTTGTGCTTTCTGCCAGATACAAGCACCTTATGCCATTATTGTCACATATTTACTCCACTAGTATACATTGCACTTATCATAAAGCCTGCACACAGTAACCAATGCATATCAAAAGCAAGTGTTTTATTATTTGTTGATAGAGCAAGAGCAAATAAGAATGCACTAGCTGTTTATACACATATGGTATTATGTAAAGGCTTTATGCTAAATACAATTCCATTGTAATGCTATTATGAATGGAACCATGCATTTTAAACTTCATTCCCAAATTGTTTTTGAGAAAATGTGAACTTGCTTTTCCTCACCCAATGATGCACGTTTACAAATTTGGTAAAGATTGGCTGAATACTTGTAACACATTTCCTGGGAAGTAGTGGCAATGGACAGAAATAACTGTTATTACTTAATTTACACTACACTCATTATTCAGCTGCAACACAATTTGATGTCTCCTAGTCAGTTGGAACCTGTTGATCACAGTCTTTTCAGAGCCTTCTCCAGTAAGGTTACCCATATGCATCTCCAGAACCACCATTTATGGTGCGACAGGGAGGTATCAGGCAAACTCTTAAACAGATGTGAGGTTACTTACCATTACTTTTACTGACATTATTGTTAAAAGTTTAGTATTTGCTTTACTCTTCTGAGAAAATCAGATTCGGGCAAGCTGTTAAACAGATGTGAGGTTATATACCTTTACTCTTATTCCAGATCCACAAAGATGCAGCTTCTGCATCCTCCTGCAAGTATGTGTTTGTGGTCTTTCTGATTCTTGGTGAAATACCCTGAAACTTTAAATAGTAGAGTGTGGATTGAGCAAAAATGCTCTTGCAGTCAACTTTGATGGGTAAAACATGAATTGTAGAAATTTTTGTGTAGTTGATTTTAAGAGAGAGAGCTTTTCTGCAGGGTAGAGTTTCACATTCAATTTCATTTAGGTGAGAGCTTATAAGGTGATTAATTTGTTAATCTTTGCCATGAATAAACACTATAGCATTTGCTTTACACTAAAAGTGAAGCATTGACATAGTGAGACATTTTTAAGTGAAATTTTGTGGTTGTGAAATACAATTTAAGACTTGGATTCCATAGTGTTTTAATTTATTGAGACTTTGCTTATTTGTGATTTTATCTTAATTTAGGGTTATTTCCTTTTAACATTGTTCTTCAGGGTTAAATTTATCAAGGAGGGAGGATTAAATGCACTAGCTAGCAAAGCAGATTCATTTATTAAAGTGCTCGTCTTACCCACTTACGTTTAAAAAAAACACAAATCACTTGCCCAGTTATATTTTTCATTGTATTTGTTGTTTCTGTGTATTTTTCTGTTTTGTAATCTGTGAGAATACTATTATACATTGATTACTTGCATTTGGATTTTGTATATTGTCTCTTTCTTTGAGCGTCTTTTACAAGTGATAGTCAAAAGGAAATTTATTGAGCCTAACTCTAGCCTGTGGTTAATCCATGCAATATCCCAGATTATTTGTCAATTAGTTTTTTTTCTGTAGGGTCCAAAGTATGTAGTTTTAACTTTAAAATACTTCTGTTTTGTCAATTCACCATATTCTAATTTTATATATTCTTATCTGTAATTATTAATGTAAAAATTAGTTTAGTGTGCCTGTAAGCATTATACTAAGTTGTCCTATTCTGTGGTATTTAATATGCATTACAGTTTGACAACTGAAAGAAAGTCCAATACTTAGCAAATGTATTTTGAATAATGAGTAGAACATTTTCCCCCCTTTCTACTTGTTTATCAGATGGATTTCTTTAATTTGATCATCCATCTTTTGTTATTAAATTTTTGAGAATTTTTAAGTCTTCTATTATAGTACTCACAATATTTTTAAATTTCATTGAACTTACTGTACTGAAGTGTTTTAACATTCTGTTTAATTCTCAAATTAAATATCACAAAAAGGTAATATTTTCCAAGAAAATAACTAAAATTAATTAAGCCTTAAAATATCAGGTAAAGAACTAGCATTTTATTTTTTTGTTTTCAGGGTATCAGTTACGATAATGCAAAAAAGATGCGACAGGAACGACTGAGCCCAGCACTGTTTTTGTACTACAAATCGCCAGTCATGTTAAATCAAGGGCACATGCAATGGATATGGGACCACACTGGAAAACGTTACCTTGATATGTATGCAGGAATTGTTACTGTTAGTGTGGGTCACTGTCACCCGTAAGTACTCTTTAGTCAAAACATTTGTTAATAAAGTATCAAAAACAATTTATTTCTCTGTTAACTGACTAACTAAGCAAATTAGCTTAAAAGTATAATTTATTGAACTTACAGAGCTGAAAAATGAGCATTCTAACTGGATATGCTGTAGCTCTGTAACTGGTATGTTAGAACTTTGTTATGCAATTTAAATAACACTTGATTAAGAAGTTTTATGCGTATTGATGTTTCCAATATAAAAGGTATCTTCACCCATGCAACAACAAGATTATGAAAGAATTGTTGGGTTATGTAACAGAAACTATTCTAAGCAAAGTTCTACAGAATTTGTTTAAATGAAAGGAACTAAAATTTAGTGAATTTACAAATATATAAGTTAAACAATTAAAGTTTCAGAAGAATATTCAGGCTAATTTATTTTTCAGTATATAAATATACATATAAGATAAATTGTGGTTGATTGTCTTTTAAGATATTTTATGTTTTTTGTATTTTTGTTACATACATGCAGAAAAGTTAATCAAGCAGCCAGAGAACAAATGGATAAATTATGGCATACTACAAACATCTATATGCATCCAAGAATTCATGAGTATGCTGAAAAACTGACTGAACGTTTACCTGGAAACCTGAAGGTAAAAAATCTTATCGGTCATGAAAAATATAAACTCTTTAGATTCAAGTTAAAATATATTTTACATTTTAAGCTTCCACATAGCCAAAGCTGCAAGTTTATGAACATTATTTTTTCTATAAATTGTTAAAAGTTGATTGTTTACTTTACTCTTCTGAAAAAATCCTGTTTGTTCAAAGCAACTGTTAAAGATTCATTTCTTTAGGCTGGAGTATTAGAATAAATTATGTAAGTCTTTTAGACAGTTAGAGCTATCCTAGCAAATATATATAGTATATGATCAAAATATAACAAACATCATTATACAATGTGGAAGTGATGAAAAAAAATGCAAGATAGATGATTGAAAAAGATATTTGAAGTAAGCTCTTTAAACATTCGTACTTTTTCCTACAAAAAAGATGCAATTTTTTTCAGGTTTGTTTCTTCTGTAATAGTGGATCAGAAGCAAATGATTTAGCAATGCTAATGGCAAAGTTGTATACTGGAGCTACAGACATCATATCTCTCAGGTACATTTATTACAGCTAATTTTTCAAAGTTATTCCATAAAACTTTTCTTTCAACTAGGGAAGTTATACTGTTTCACAGTCTTTTGAACTATCCATTGTTTCAACTGCTTTAAAGATGCTCACTTAATAGATCACTTTATCTAATAAAGTGGTAAATGCTAGAAAAGTATCTTTCAAAAGTGTGTTGGATGAATTCATGGATAAAACCACTTTTGTTTTTCTTTTTTTAATCTTATAACTCAAAAGAACTTGTGTTAAATCAAGGATTGGATTTTTATCTTACATTTGATTTATTTAATTGTAGAGTTTTTAATCTTTTATATCAAGCTTCTAAGGTAATAAAAAATTACTCTGTCTAGACAACAAATTATTTATTAGTTGTTCTCCAAACTATCAACAGATGAAACTAAAAAACAAAACTGGTTAAAACAACGAAAAAATAATGCAGTATTTATGGTAATGGGTGACTCATGAAGACTGAAATATATCAAAGTGGATTACTCATGCTGTTTTCGTTTTTTTTTTACTCAAAGTTCTCACCACAGTGAACTTGTATTTTTGTAAGATTTAAGAATATGTAGCATTGATGCTAATAATATATTATTCTGGACTACTTGGCAAACAAGCTTTTAAAATAGTCAAAAGAAATAAGAAGCCCAATCTAACATTAAATTCATCACTTATCACCAAGCTTTAGGTAATTCTACCCTTCAGAAATGCTGGATAATAGCAAACCAAAACCTCTCAACACTTCATCAATCATACCTACAACATATATTATTTACTATCAACTGCTGCACAATCGCAGTGAGTATTTATTTGTTTATGAGGCTAAGAAAGGGATACAAAGACAGTTTCTAGATCTTAACTCAGAGATAATTGATTATGAGTTCTACAAAATCAGACTAAGCTTATACATTCAGTTTGTTAAATAGTTATTACTGCACTTTGTTTTCCTTACTTAGAAATGCCTATCATGGAATCAATGGTTGCACAGTAGGTTTGTGTGGAGTTGGTTCATGGAAATTCATGGTCCCAGGTATATCTGGTATTCATCATGTAAGTTATTCAGGTCTTTTAAGTCTTGGGTTTTAATTATAAATATTATGACTGTATCTTTCAACTTGTATATTTATATAAATATACACATATTAGGTCATCAAGAAATTAATGTTGCTTTTTTTTTAAATGAAAGAACCCGGACAACTTGTATATCAAAACATTTATTAGATGAAATAGGCTCCATTCTTATCAATTATGCTTTTCCATCTTACTATCAGATTGTTAATGTCCTGATTAAAGAAATCATTTGGTTATGAA